AATGCCGAAGCTACAAAAAAGCGCCACATTATACCGGTGTACCAGTAGGAGCCAATGAAATAAGTTCATGATACTCTAAAAAAAGTAAAGTAGTATAAGAATAAATAAAGTTGAAATATTGAATAAATATATGAAATATTGGACCTCCGTGACGCACTATGAAAGCCAAGGGAAACAGCGTATCAGACTTCGTTATCGCGCGTTCCATTTGAGCGATCCGATCGCGCGATCCCGAAGTCTGAAAAGGCTTAAGCAAAGAACGAAGTCATATAAAACGAATGGAAGAATTCGTAATGAAATTAAATGTAAGAGTGTGATATCACAATTTCGCCAAAAAATAACTGTTTTATATTCGCTTCCCTTCCCTTAATTGTTAAAGGACAGAGGCGGTCACATTGAAGTCGTATTTTGCCCTATAGTATGGGCAAGGTCGTTTACAACCAAAATGTTGTACCGTTTACAACCAAATCCTAATGCATGGCTATAACAATCATAGCATATCGTAGTTGGGGTTCCCAGTGACGGGGGGAGGTCCTATTTGGGTGAGGGAAGGAATGAGGTGGTACTTACCTTTGAGAAAAATGCTGTCGGTTGCTGAGTTTTCTTAGTTATCCCTTTCACCGCTGCTAAATACCCCCTCTCGTCCCTCCTCAGGCAGCTGTTGCAATGAGGAAACTGGAAAGAAAATGAAAGAACGGTCGTCCAAAGAAGCGAAATTCGGGGAGTCGTACTTTGCAAAGAAAGGGCAAGACGTGCCTTAAACTTACTCAAAAGCTCACCTCTCCCTCAACAGGGGCTTGACAACGAATGTAAGAAGATTCGAAGTATTCGCACCTTGAGAGATCGCGATAAGGAGAGTAGCAGGAGCGGAGACCAAAATTTTACCACACTCGTACTTTGTTGACGAATTTTTCTGTCCCGCCCTATCGTGTTTCTGCGGATCCTGGGGGCTACCGTATCCCGTAATCGTAATGCACCAGCCACCGAGGTTAGGCGTTATAACTCGCGTAGTTTGGTCGTTTCTACGCTCTCGAAAAGGTTCTATTCTTCTACAATGGAAATCAGGCCTCTTGCCTCAAACCTCCCGAGTCAGTATGAACTGGACGAACAACTTTTATGCTTATGTGACCATGAGGTCTGCCCTATCCGAACATATTACCCATCCGACAATTCAAAGTTTTGCCCAGAATCGCAATTTGGCCAGACGAGCGTTTTTTCGTCGAAGGATGTGATATTCGTGTTCAGGGGGTCGAAATCTCCCATGAACGAATTTCTCGCCAAAACTTTGAATTGGGATGGGTAATATGTTCAGAGAGGGCAGATATGACCAAATCCATACTAGATCGAGTACGTCGTATACTTGAT